CTCTTCCCTCTGCCCCTCCCCCTGCTCTCTCTCTCTCACTCTAAAATAAATAAATAAAGCTTTAAAAAAAAGAGAGAGATGCAAGAGATATATCAAGTAAGTGCAATTTATGGACCTTTTTACTTGGGTCCTAAGTCAAACAAGCAAAGGAGGAAGAGAAAGAGAGAGGGGAGGGAACAGTAGAAGAAACGTAGGCGGTGCCCGAATACCTAGTCAAAGAACTGTTGTACTTGCTGTGATTATGGTATCACTAGGATGTACTTTTAAAAGGTTCCCTATATTGTGGAGACATATATTAAAATGTTTAAGGCTGAAAAAGATTTGCTTGGTTTGCTTTGCTATTATCTCAGATGAGGGAGGGGCAGTGGGTGGGGGCAGAGTTGAAACCAGAGTGGCCACGAGTTGGTTTTGAGTGAAACTACATGGGGGTTCATTATACTATTTTTCTCATTTTTCTTTATGTTTAAAGTTTATACCATATTTTTTAGAAACCATGATTTTAAGTGAAAAGAGAAGCAGAGTGGTAATTACAGGTCAATACAATTTCCATAAATTTATAAAAAGGTAACAATAGAATATATGGGTTATAGGTGCCTTCCTAGTGCTAAAAATACAGAAACGGGGTGGGAAGGACACAGTGACTCCAGGGTGGGGGTGGCCGGGTGGTGCGCGGGGTGGGCAGAGACAGGATGTTGGCACTTGTTTATTCTCCATGGGGGGGGGGGTCTTCAGTATCTTTGCTCCGGTCTCAGTGCTGCCCACACTTCTGAAACGCGCCATGGGGGCACCAGTAGAAAGAGCAGGGAGGGAAGTCTGAGGAAGGGCGAGAGCCATCGGGACCCTCAGCTTCATGTGCACACTCGTCTGGCAAAAGCCTTCTGGAAGGGACAATGCGCACTCTCCTCTGCGGGCACTGGGCAGGTGAGGGTGGCTAGGGAAGCCCATCTGTGTCACCAGGGTTGCTAGGCTCCTGCCGGCGGCCGGGCTTGGCTGACTCCGCTGAGCCGTTAGGCCACCGGCTTTCTCGGGAGCCTACACAGTTGATTATGCTTCTCTCCAGTCTAGTTATCTCTCCATCCGACAATTCTTTAGTTACTTTTAGTTTTTATCAGTGATAAAAGTACATTTTCAAAAAATCAAATTGTACCAAAACACTTTGATGAAAAGCAGTGGCCTCTCCCTGCAGCAAAGCCCAATTCCGAGGCAGCCACGCTCAGCCCTTTTGGCAGTTTCTCCTGGTCTTGACCTCCATTTCTCAGGATACTATGCTCATTTACCATTTCTTCTCAACATAGATATAATCAGTGTTTATTAAATCAATAACCAGTTAGAGTGACTCTGCAAAACCATTTATTGTTGAGTCAAATTGTAATTATATCTCCTTTCTCTTACAATTTCTTGTAAGAGTTAATATTACCTTGTTTTCGTATTGCTTGAGTTTTCTATATATTTGTAGCTATTTTTTTTCAAATATTCCATCAGTCATCAAATGCTGAGGAATAAATTCTCAATACTCAAAAACTTCAAATAATCTTTCAGCCCCCCACCGCCCCCCCCCACACACCCTTTCTGCGGTCCTCCATCTTCCTGCTCCCATCTGGATGGCCCATGGTGCACTCTCTGGGCCCACAGAACTGATGTCTATGGGGCTCCCTTTGCTGGTCTCCCGTGTTGAAAAGAATTTTCCTGGATGCCATGGTTTTCTGAGTCTTGGTTTACACGTGATGAAGCACATCCCGCAGTGGCTTCCCAAGGACAGGTGCAGGGGAGGTTTTTGTTCCCTTGGGACTTTTTTCTTTTGTTTTGGGTTTTTTTTGGGTCTCTGTGCTAAAAATCCTTCTATTCTCCCATCACTCTTTTTTTAAAAGACTTTATTTATGTATTTGTTGGAGAGAAGGAGAGCACAAGCGGGGGAGCAGAGGCAGAGAGAGAAGCAGGCTCTCCACTGAGCAGGGAGCCCAATGCAGGACTCAACCCCAAAACCCTGGGATAATGACCTGAGCAGAAGGCAGACACTTAACCGACTGAGCCATGCAGGCATCTCCTACCATCACTCCTGATAGAAAGTTTGGTATAAGATTCTAGGATGGAAATAGCCTTCCCTCAGGATGTTAAAGGCATTGGTCCTCATCATAAGTTAGGGTTATATGAGATGCTGTAACAAATAGACCCTAAATGTATAAAGGCCCCAACACCCTCAAAGCGTAATCCCTGCTCCTGTTCCCATGTGTGGATGACTCTAGACCAGCCCCACTCACCTGTGGCTCCCCTGTCCATTAGGCTCTGTGACAATCTGGGTCCAGCCAGGGATGGGGGGGAGAGCACAGAAGGCACACCTGCTTCATAGAGACATTGGCCTAAAATTGGAACATCTGTGGTGCTGCATTGGCAAGAGCTCATCAGAGGGCCACACCTCAGTGCCAAGAGTCCTGGGAAATGGTGTCCTGTCTGGGCAGGAGTGACAGCTCGAGACTGTGGCAGGGTGAGCATGGCCAGCCCTCTGCTTCAGCCAACACCTTCTCTAAAGAACCCTGTGACCCCTCTGTGACCATGGGTATGGGCATGTGGGTGTTTCTTTCCAGAAACTTTTTGGAAAGCCCTCCTCTTTACTACTGATATTCTGACATTTTGTGATGACATGCTTCCATATGTGTCTCTTTGAGTTTATTCTGATGGATTCTTTCATTTTAGAGACTCTGAAAATTCTGTCCCCTTCCACTTTCTAGAAACCCTACTAGTTAGATGTCCCAGACCCAATATTGCGTCTCTAGTTTCCTTTTATTTTCTCTTCTGCTGCCCATCTCTCTATTTCTGGCTCACTTTTGGGATGTTTCTTGGTTTTATCCTCAGCCCCTTAATTCAATTTATTTCAGTTTTAGTTTTCAAGGACTATTATCAGTAATCATTCGTTTTACCAGAACACCCTTCTTATTGTGTAGACAAAACATCTTCTTTTGTCTCTCCACGGTTGTTACTTAGAGTTCACTTGACATTTTCCTCTGATCCTTTCAACATCTCTGTCTCTTCAAGGTCCCCTATTTTGTTTTTTTATTTCTCATTTTCGTGTTGGGAACATCCCTCCAGTGTCTGGAAGACAAAGTACTGGAAATTGACTGGAAGCTCTGCATGCTCTGATTAATCCAGTTTTGTTGGACTCCCCATGTCCGGGCATGTGGTCTTTGGGGCAGTCTGGTCTCCATGGAAATCTGCCTAGAGAAACTGTGACTTTTTAGGCATGGAACCAGGAGGAGCCCTGGCCCCTCCCCCCCCACTCCAGCCGCCCCTGCTGTGCCCACAGCCAGAGTCTCCTGTGCTCATATCTCCAGAGGCAGAGCAGACAACGGCAGGCATCCCTGCTTCTTGCAAAGACTCAACAAGGCCCCTGCTCTCAGCCTCACCAGATGCTCGTGGCTCCTGGCATCTCTCAGTGCTGAGCATCCCGGCGTTCTTTGAGGTGAACCCTGTCGTTCTCTATCCCCACCTCAGCTGCTCTCTCTGAGCCCCATATCAGTCACTCCCACTCTGTCTTCCTCCCCAGACTTTCCCCCAAGACGGAACATCTGTTGATGATTGTGCCTAAACCCGTCTGTACTATGATGGTTATAAAATGGCAATGTCCCCTTGTCCTAACTCCTACATTTATCAACTATAAGGAACAAGTTCCTTTCCTCCGTATTTGATGTGTATGACAAACGAGAGGGAGCAGCTAGGGAAACAGTGTATTCAAAAAACCTTGGTCAAAAGTAAGTGCTATAATAAGGCAAATTAGTGTCATATTTTTAATAACCATAATTAGCCTCAAATTTTTACCTTCAGCCCAAACTAATTGCTTCTAGAAAGCTGCACACAGTCACCCAACACAGGATTTACTGGCTACCCCCAAACTGCTCACCACCTCTCTTCCTGTCCTGTCACCAGGCATCAAAACTGCAAGCCTCGGGCCGTTCTTCACCACCCCTTTCTCCCTCACCCCACCCCACAGACACGTGTCCCCTGGAGGCCTGGCCCCTGCTGACCCCACTCCCACCCTCACCAGAATACCACTGCTCACCACCCCAGAGCCCCGGCCAGCCCACCTCTGGTCTTGTCTTCTTCCAAACCCAGTGACAGAGGGTCTCCAGGCCACATATGTAGTTGCGTTATTCCCTTGTCTCTGTTCTTTAGTCTTCCCCTCATGTTAGGGACCACGCACCCATTCCTGAGTGTGCTGTTCAAGCTACTCGCCATCTAGCTCCTTTGCCCTGTCCTGGCTCCCTGCACAGGGGCTCTGCTGAAACCGCTGCATGGCTCACTGGGTTTGATCCCCAGAGTGCATGATGGTCACATCATTTTAGACAGACTCAGCTGGTGGGCTTTCCCAACACTGTCACTTGCAAATTATCAGCTAATAGGTCCCAGTAGCTAGTGATCTACAAGCAAGTATCTAGAATATGGGGGAGGGGGTTCCTTTTTGTTGCAGATGGTAATACATATAGCCTTCATGCAAATGCATTTTAAAATACCACCACATTTTAAAATATAAATTTTCTTCCCTTGTTTGTACATTTTCTGATAGGAAACTGCAGAGATCATTTCGCAGTTAATCAATGTTTCAGGTGCTCACCCTGAACATATTGCTGGAGGCTCAGAAATTAGAGTGAGGTGGACAGTTTCATAATTCACTGTCTTAAAGGCCCCTGGCAGGCAACAGACTAGAAATGTCTGCTGGCACTTACATTTAATGAATTCTTATTCGGTACCCACTTAATTCTCTACTTGAAAACAACAATGCTAGCACATTTCCCAGGGCTGCCTGTTTCCCTCCAGGGGTTACTTGGATTCTGACTCAAGTCCTGAGCCTCATTCAGGACTATCTCTCCCAGGCCGCCTTGGAATCTTTGGTGCCACAAACAATCATCGGTACTTGTCCCCGGTGCCATAGCCCAGAAGCAAACAATCTGAGTTCATGTTAATTACCTGCTAAAAGTGTGCCTGGGGTCACACTGCCTCTCTGCGCTCAGGTCCAGGATGCCCAGCCCCTCGTGGATGCCCGCGCCCCACGGAGCCTCAGCCACCTCCACCTGAAACTCAAGAAACTGAAGGTAATCTCTGTTCTACTTCTCCGTTACTGGTGCAGCTAATGAGGAAACGTCAGCTCAGAAACTAGGGAAATGGAAAATGCAGGCTCAGTAAGGGATAAACAGTTCCTGTCATCAACGATGACATGCCGTGTCAGCAGCCAATTAACCTCATCTTGCCAGAATAGAGCTGGTGGGTGGTAGGTACACCGGGAGACTTCTCCAGTCTACCTGCTGTCTCCAGGAAGAGAGGCCAGGGCGGGCAGGAAAGCACGGTGGCATGTTACTCACTGCAGCTTTAAAGAAATCAATTAGTACCCTTCCTTTAAACAAGACCACTTCTTAAAATAAATAAATAAATAAAAGTAAATAAAAAAATAATAAACAAGACCATTTCTTGACCACCACAGAATATTTATTTCTTGAAGTGTAAACCATGAGTGAGAATAAGACTCTCATGGTTATGCTGATAGTAATACCCCCAAAGCTAAATGCTGTGTGCTCTCTCTGTGGCTGTTAGTAATGAGAGCTGAAGAGGGCAGAACTAATCATTGCCAAGCAAGCCAGCAGATCAATCAATTCTAAAACCTTAACCAAGAGGATTTTCATTTCCTCTGGGCTCCAATCTTCTCTTCTTCTCAACAGTATAAAATACCTCTCTTAAAACATGAAGTGATTTCCTCATTAGCATTACCGCCACAGAGTTTTGGAGAGTGACCTAATTTCACAAAGACTCATAGCATCCTCACTGTTACTTCCACTCTGAGTGTATGAAATCTGGCCCCATCCAAATGCATTCCAATTCACAGACAGACAAGGGAGCCTGCCCGTGTCACACAGGTTGCTGAAGTGTGCTCAAGTCAAAGGAAATGTGGGGTTGAAGGGATCCTCTAAATAAATCTGCACAGTAATAGCACGGACGTAGCTGGGGCTTCCAGAGGCTCCTTGTGTGTCTGTCCACAGCTGGAAGAGGAGCGGCTCGCCACCATCGACAGGGACAACCGCCTGCTGCTGGAGAAATTGTCCTGCATCCTGAGGACCAGGGGCCAGACCAACAGCAGGAACAATTGCACACAGAAGAGGTACCAGGGCCCCTGCTCTCTACAGTCAGCACCAAACCTGGCAGGGCCCAGAGTGTTCCACTCCAGGCCTGCACAGAAGAGCTGCCCCAGAGCCAGAACATGGGGTTCCCATCCTCCCTGCAGAGAGCCCTGTGCCTTTTCCTCTGTGGTGTGTGCATCAGAGTATTACCTGGGGCTCAGGCTAATTCCATACCCACAGCAGAACAAGGGCACCAACAGCAGCTCTGGGGGTCCCTCTGTGCAGTCCCAAGCCTGCTACACCATCTTCCTGGTTAACCCTCATACTCATCCCATGAGGGAGGGGCCATGGGGAAACTGAGGCAGCAGGCAGTGAAGGAACCTGGCCAAGATGGCACCTAGGAGGTGGTAGGAAGTAGGTTCCTGCCCCAGGGCCTGTGCTCAGGCAGTGCTCCTGCATTTCCATGTGCCAAAGCAGCCAAGGTTGTTGTTTTTCTGCCGGCACAACTCTGTGCCCGGTGTCTGTCTGGAAACAGCATCGGTCGTGTAACTCTGCGTCCAGGGTGGGAGGGTGGTTGCTCCTGTTTGTTACAGAAGAGCCCGGTGCTGGGGCAACTCTCCACCAGCAACACGGTTTTTACCCAGCAGGGCTCTCTGACAGCAGGCCTCCACCGTCTTTAGAATCTGCCTACAAATAGTTAAAGACGCTTAGGACCCTAAGAGCCCCTCTTCTCTAAGGCAAACAACTCCTGCACCCTACGAATCCCCAGAATTTGCTCACTGGTCACATCGCAAAACTTTTAGCCTGTGTCCATCTCTGAGAAGCTCAGAGTGGTTTCCAGATTTTGCAGTAAATTAAAATTTAGCTGACCCTCAAGCACCAGGAAGTGTGTCACATAGGAGGGATGCAGGGGAGGAGGGGATCCTGCACCCGCCCTGGGCTGTCAGGTGGAAGCAATGCGTCTCGGGTTCTCCAGCAGTGGTTCCCCTGGGGCTTCACTCCGGGGAGCTTGGGGGGATGGGGAGTGGGCCTGGGTGTCAGAAATGCCTCCATGTCCAGCCCCTGCCATTAGAAACCTGGAGTTATGGGTCAACCTCCATTTTCCTGGGACAGTTTACATTAGATTTGGAATCACTTCCTGCTTCAAAGACAGATACTGAACTTGAGTATAAAAATCACTGTTGAGTGCTACTTACCTTAAAGCTGTAATGAAGTAGCCTAAAGCTAATACTTAATTTCCATGCAACTCAATCCAGGACAGGATCCCACAGGGAGATTCTCCCACCCGCTGCCTGGATTCTCTTTGAAAAACTTAAGTCCCAACCAGCCTGGAGGTAAATCCACACCATCAAGTGGCTTCCCCCTCAGGACCTGCCTGATATGTCATACACAGGAAATGAGGGAAGAAGGAGGGAAAAGAGGAAGCAGAAGTGACCCCGGGGAGGTGCCAGCCAGTGAGAAGCACGGGAAGTGCCTGAGTTTGAACAAGGGAGCCAGACAGCAGGACTTCAGGAAGCATAAAAGGAACACAGGGGCCAAAGGGGGCCTGTGAAGCCACCCAGCTCCTCCCACACCAGGAAATTATCTCCACAGTCACATACCACCTCCTTGTCCTGCTTGGATTTTAAAGCAGTCAAAGACCCGCTTGTGCCCTTCCTACATATTTCTCTTTATTCAACTCCGGGCCGTGCACTGAGAGCTGAGTGTGGTCGCTTTGCATGTTCAAACTCAGGATGAATGCAGCTTCACTCCTGTGTTGAAGTAGAGAGCACCAAGCTAATTCACAAGGTAATGGTAGAAATGGTGTGTCTCTTTGTGATTAGTTTAATGGAGCCCCAGCAGGAACGAAAGTCAATGATTTTTATCAAGAATGCATCAATTTGAGCCTGATGGCTGGCCATTTCATTTCTCTGTCCTTTATTTAATAAAAGATACTTGTCAGGTTAACACATGGTGTGGAAGGGAAGCAGCCCAGAACACTGCAAACTAGCTGGCTCAGTTAGTATAGATGTACTAGCTACCTAACTACTCAACAGCAAAAGTCAACACTTTTGTGTTGTGTATAGAAAAACTATATGACCAACAATCGGGTTTTCACTCTTCATTTTATTTTTTTTAAAGGTTTTATTTATTTATTTATTTGAGAGAGAGAATGAGAGAGAGAGAGCACATGAGAGGGGGGAGGGTCAGAGGGAGAAGCAGGCTCCCTGCCGAGCAGGGAGCCCAGTGAGGGACTCGATCCCGGGACTCCAGGATCATGACCTGAGCCGAAGGCAGTCGCCCAACCAACTGAGCCACCCAGGCGCCCTTCATTTTATTTTTTAATGGCTTTATTGAGATTATCATTGGCATATGGTAAACTATATATTTACAGTGTTCCATTTGGTAAGTTTGACATGCTTTACACCTGTGAGAATATCTCCACTATCAAGATAATAACTACATCCATCCCTCCCCAAGGTCTCCTGTTCCCATCAATAATTACCCCACCGCTCCTCTTTCCCATCCTACATGCATCCACAATCTGCTTTTGGTCCCTATGGATAAGCTTGCATTTTCTGAGTTTTGTGTGAGTAGATCCATGCAGTGTCTGCATTCTCCTGCCTTTCGCCCCACATAATGTCATGGCTGAGTGAGTCAATAGACCATTCCTTTCGGTGGCTGAGTAGTGCTCGCTGTACAGAGCTATCATGGTTTGTTTATCCATTTACCTATCGGTGAACATTTGGACTATTTCTAGTCTTCGGCTATTACAAATAAAGCTGCTATGAGTATTCATGTTTTAAAAAAATTAAAAAACCAGTATCTCTGCCCAAGACTGAAAACGCAATGATAAATGAAGAATCTCAAATATGAGTCACACAGAGAAGGTCTTCCAAGCATGACAGCATAAGGAGGTCCCTGGACCCACTCCCCAGCAAAACTGATAAAAGGTATTTTTAAAATAACCATTTAAAGTTTATGGAAATGGTCCTAAGGGCAGACACCATATAAAGAAACATTCAGGGGCGCCTGGGTGGCTCAGTTGGTTGAGCAACTGCCTTCGGCTCAGGTCATGATCCTGGAGTCCCGGGATCGAGTCCCGCATCGGGCTCCCTGCTCGGCGGGGAGTCTGCTTCTCCCTCTGACCCTCTTCCCTCTCATGCTCTCTATCTCTCATTCTCTCTCTCAAATAAATAAATAAAAATCTTAAAAAAAAAAAAAGAAACATTTATCCAAGAAAAGCTGCTAAAATGTGGCAAGAACAGATAGGTTCCCTAGTACCTGAACTGGGACTCACTCCTCCCCCCCTTCCCAGCTCAGCAAGGCAGACTCTGTTCCAGATTGCCACAGCCAAGAACACAGGGCTCCCTCTCTCCCCTACTCCCAGCCGGAGAGCTTTCTTCCTGGAAAAGGCAGCACTTCGTCATTCATCATCCCGTCCCCGGCTGCCCATTACTGAAACCAAGTCTCAGATGAGTATGGCCCAGAGGTGGGGGCTCCTTTCTGCCCAGCTCCCACTCGAGAATGGAGGCTCCATCTCAAGTGTGGTGCTGCTGAGAATACTGGGGCCTGATCCCCTTGGCCTTGTTCATTTAGTGTAGTGATTCGAGGCCATGAAGGTTTATGTGTCCTCCCCTACTACAATGGAAGAGCATGCGGTATCACACAGAGAGAAGCTTGGCATTGTCCCCACTCTGAGCTCCAGAGCTCTGAGATTTTGCCCAGGGGATACGCATACCATAAAACAAATGGCTGCTGATGTCCCCTCAAAGTAACTGACTTCATTTGCAGCAGAGTGTAGGCAAGTTCCAAACTTCATTGGACATGAAATAAAAGACATCCACATTGGGGAGGAAAACATAAAGCTGTCTCTATTCACAGCTGATACGATCTTGCATACAGAAAATCCTAAGGAAACCACTAAAAAAAAGTATTAGAACTAATAGACAAGTTCAACAAGGCAGCAAGATACAAGATTAATATACAAAAGTCCATTATATTTTTATAAACTTGCAATTAACAATCTGAAAATGAAATTAAGAAAATTATTCCATTCACAAAAGCATCAAAAAGAACAAAATACTTGGGAATAATTTAATAAAGGAAGTGCAAAACCTATATTTTGAAAACTACAAAACATTGTTGAAATTAAAAAATATCTAAATAAATGGGAAAAAAATCCCATGTTCATAAATCAGAAGACTTCATATTGTTAAGATGGTAGTACTCCCCAAACTGATTTCAGAGTCAGTGCAATCCCTACCAGAATCCCAGCCGACTTCTTTGTAGAAACTGACAAGCGGATATGAAAATTTTTTGGAACTGCAAGGGACATCAAATTGTCAAAACAATTCTAAAAAGAACAAAGTAGGACTCGTGTCCTGATTCCAAAACTTTCTGTAAAGCAATGGTGATCAAGGCAATGTGGTACCAACATAAGGGCAGGTATAGATCAATGGAATAGAATTGAGAGTCCAGAAATAAACCCATGTGTCTATACCAATTTATTTTCAATAAAGGTGCCAGGACCATTCGATAGGGAAAGAATAGTCTTTTCAACAAATGGTGCTTGAACAACTCTTTATTCATATGCAAAAGAATAAATTTGGACTCTTCACACCATATACAAGAATTAACTCAAAATGGATCAGACCAAAATATAAAAGCTGAGACTATAAAAATTCACATAAGAAAACATAGCGGTGAATCTTCTTGACCTCATATTTGGCAATAGTAGTAGATATGACACCAAAAGCATGAACAAAAAAGAGAAAATAGTAACTTGGATAAGTTAGGCTTAGTCAAAATTAAAATTTTTTTTCTTTATTAAGAACTTTTGTACTTCAAAGAACAGTATCAAGAAGGTGAAAAGACAGCCCACAGAATGGGAGAAACTATTTGTAAGTCATATATCTGATAAGGGACTTGCATGAAGAATATATGAAAAATTCTTACAGTCAAATAACAAAAAGAAAAATGACTCAATTAAAAGATAGGCAAAGGACCTGAATAAATATTTCTCCAAGGAAGATCTATAAAAAGCCAATAAGCACATGAAAAAAAATGCTCAACATCATTAGTCATCATGAAAAGGCAAGTCATAGCCACAATGTGATACCACATTATTCCCACAAGAATAAAAGGCAGATAATAACAAATGTTGGTGAGGATATGGAAAAATTGGAGCCCTCATCCACTGCTGGTGGGAATGTAAAATGGTGCAGCCACTGTGGAAAACAGTCTGACAGTTTTTCAAATATTTAAACATAGTGTTACCATATGATTCAGTAATTCTACTCCTGGATACATACACAAGAGAAATGAAAACATGTCCACAAGTAAAACTTGTATATGAATATTCACAGCAGTATTATTCA